CCGGTCAGCGTGAAGGCTCGCACTGGCAGATCCTTGTAGTGGGCCGCCAGCGGCACAGCGACCTGCTGCGCACCGACAAACCCTGTCACAGGGTCCACCAGCCGCGGCAGCTGCTGCTTGTCCGTCACCAGCAGCCCGTACCCAACGTTTAAGACTGACATCAGCCCCTGCCCGCCCTGCCGGAGCTCGGACGATGACCAGAAACGCGGCTTATCATCGCCACGGCAAAGGCCTGGCGCCTCTGCCAGCAACTCGAACTCCTGCACCAGCCCCCTCAGCTCCTCTGGCGTGAGGCTGCTGCGGCCAGGGAAACGCCGCACAACCTCCAGCGCAGGGAGCACTGGCGCATCCACTTGCAGCGCAAGGCTAGCAGGGAAGGAATGATTGAAGTTTGATCGAAGTTGAAGAAGAAGAGGGGTTACATGGTGTGCACAGGCGACTACGTCGCAACGAACACCCGAAAACAAAGAGGGCTGCTAGAAGTTCAGCGGAAAAACAGACTGTCACCCAAAAAGAGGCCCACCCCGAGAAAGCCTCTGTGCGCGAGACATGACACGTGGCTCTGCAGGCAGAACCGTCAGACTCACAACACGCAGTGTAGAATTCTATTGGGACAAGCAGCATGACTAACCTAAAACAGTGTCGGTGACAGCAGGCCATACTTGTGCAGTACAGCGGGCGGGCTGAACTCAACGGGACAAAGTTGGCCAGTAAAGGTCAATACCTTGGTCCGAGGCAGCAAACAAGGGGGGGGGGACGAAGTTTGATTGAAGTTGCACAAATAACACTTTTGCGTTTATATACAGCAAAAATCTGCCGTCGGGCATGAATTTGGGAGCAGCCCCCCATCGGGATTCTGCCGCTTCAGCTGAAGCGGCCCGGTTAGCTCAGTCGGTAGAGCGCAAGGCTCTTAACCTTGTGGTCGTGGGTTCGAGCCCCACATCGGGCGATCGATTTTGTCCATGAGCTCCTCAAGGTTGTGCTGCTGATGTATTCTCTGCTGGCCCCCTACGGCCTTTGCGTGCAGGCTGACACATCTCTGGATTATCCAGATGAACCTGGATGCTCAGCTTTGCTGATGCTATGGCCACTCTCTAGACTGCCTCAGACAGCGACTCTGCATTGAACATGAACTGCTGTCACCCGTGGCTACACTGTTACCTGTGACTATTGCTGGTGGTTGAAACCACCTGCATGATCACACAAGTTGAGAGATGAACAGTGCATGCAAGAGCCATGTCAACAAGCAGGTCAGGACACTACATGCTGAAAGGATTGCATGTCATCATCATCATCATCATCATCATCATCATATTACCCATTCAAGCCATAGCAACAGCGCCATCGGCCCCGCGCCCCACCGGGGCGGAAAGAGGAGGGAGCACTGCTCCAGAATGTTTGCATGCATTGCGCACATCTTAAGAGTTGACGAGCAAAGCAGCAATACACGGTGATACCATCTGACATCTTCCAGAACTGCCCCAAACATCATCAGATACAAAACGCAACACCAGGCATATGGTCTGTCTGCAGTAGTGCGCCGACGCTTGTTGCTGCCCTGGCAAGTGTTACGTTTATGTGATGTCATAGCATCGTTGTCACAGCAATCATCTTGCCTTTGTGCTTGTAGTGCTGCGTTTGTCAGCGATTTGAGTTCTTTGAGCTTTCACCAGTTTGCCACTTGAGACAAGGTTGCCTATGGACCTTCTGGAATTTGCGCATAATGTTGCATTTTGATGCCACCTGAGCCATGCTGACATCCATATTTGTTTCTCGGTTGTGCTGTTGTTTGAGGAGTATGCTGCCCCCACAGAGGAGGGCCACAACCCCCATCCTGGTTTGTTGCGTGGTTCACCGTGCCACCTATGCTGCTACCAGATGTTGTGCCCTTTCGCATGGATTTACCGCTAGGCTATACTGTATGTTGGCTGCTTGTGTGTGCATGCTCTGCCTCCCTTTCCCCCCTTTGGTTGTGGAGAGACATTTTGGACCCCATGAGCCTTGTTTGGCTCCTTTCTGAGTTCTGAGCTCTCTGAGCTTGTTGAGGTTGCGGCTTCTTTCGGTTGATGGTCTTCTTTTGAGTTTTGCGGACCCCATGAGCCTTGTTTGGCTCCTTTGCGGGTGGGCCAGTGGCCCTACTTTGGTAATTTGGTAATTTGGTAATTGATTGACGAATCAGCCATGGACAAAACGCTGCGCAACTTTTCAGCGCAACCAGGCAGGGATCTGATCTCAGCAAACATACTATCCCTTTGAGCAGAAGTAGCAGGGCAATCAAACATGAAGTGTGACAAAGATTCAACTTCTGCACCACAACAAGGACATCCTGAAGTGGAGTTAGCTCTGCGCAAGGATTGCATGTGAAACGTTGGAACACTCCACTCTGAGTCGGTATGTGGCTCATGTGCATCCCACTCATGTTGATGCTATGGGATTCAGGAGGCCTAGGCCGTACTTGCGTTCAGTGGCAATTCCACGTGGTATTGAATTGCTTTTGCGTGTTCGTATGGGTTGTCTGTGTGTACATGAGCGTACTAGTCAATTTGGCGGTCGCAGAGCTAACTCCACTTCAGGATCATCATCTTCATATTACCCATTCAAGCCATAGCATCAGCGCCATCGGCCCCGCGCCCCACCGGGGCGGAAAGAGGAGGGAGCACTGCTCCAGAATGTTTGCATGCATTGCGCACATCCCAAGACTTGACAAGAAAAGCAGCAATACACGGTGACACCATCAGACATCTTCCAGAACTGCCCCAAATATCATCAGATACAAAACGCAACACCTTGATTGACGAATCAGCCATGGACAAAACGCTGCGCAACTTTTCAGCGCAACCAGGCAGGGATCTGATCTCAGCAAACATATCATCCCTCTGAGCAGAAGTAGCAGGGCAATCAAACATGAAGTGTGACAAAGACTCAACTTCTGCACCACATCAGGATGTCCTTGTTGTGGTGCAGAAGTTGAGTCTTTGTCACACTTGATGTTTGATTGTCCTGCTACCTCTGCTGAGAGGGATAGTATGTTTGCTGAGATCAGATCCCTGCCTGGTTGCGCTGAAAAGTTGCGCAGCGTTTTGTCCATGGCTGATTCATCAATCAAGGTGTTGCGTTTTGTGTCTGATGATATTTGGGGCAGTTCTGGAAGATGTCGGATGGTGTCACCGTGTATTGCTGCTTTTCTTGTCAAGTCTTGGGATGTGCGCAATGCATGCAAACATTCTGGAGCAGTGCTCCCTCCTCTTTCCGCCCCGGTGGGGCGCGGGGCCGATGGCGCTGATGCTATGGCTTGAATGGGTAATATGATGATGATGAAGTTGAGAGATGAATCAACTGTAGCCAAAGTTCACCCTCCGATTAACGCAGGGTGTCAGAAAGACATGCGGTGTGAATACCAACCGCAGATCACAGAGGCTGCATAACAGCTGTAAGCTAAAACCTGGCAGGGAAAGATAACACGGATAAGCACCCCCCCCCCCACCCGACCGCCTCATGCAGACTACGTATGCCAGCAGCACTGCCATACTATTGCCAAACTTGCTTTGGCTGGTGGAGACCATGGCTGTGCAGCATGCCGCTTTCAGCAACAGGACCCTCTGGAGCGTGACACACCCAGTAACCAGCTTTGCCTTCACAGCAAGAAACAACACCAACACGCACCCAGTTGTCAGCAGTAGTTGGGCTGGCAGCACTGTCTGCACAGCCCCCAGCCCCTGCAGGTAGGGCCTCTGCTGATGACAGCATTGGAACACTTCGAGCTGCTGCTGGCGCCACGCGCGCATGTCATGCATCCGCGCAACCACTTGTCAGCTAAGCTACCTTTTTAACCGTGCTGTGTCATTCCTGCTAGCAACTTGACATTCTGTAGCGTTCCTGCTGCTGCTGCTGCTGCTGCTGCTGCTGCTGGTGTAACTGCTGTCATCAGCATGAGCAGTCTCTTCTAGAAACATAGCTCTCATAAATCCATCATTTGTGGGTGAATGAACTCTCTGAGGCGATGGGAGGTGGCACAAAGCCTTCGTCTTGGAACGTCTGCACGGTGGTGGCTTCCTGCTGCGGCTGCGGCCACGCGACAACACAAAACATGACCAGGCACAGTTAAAACTTGCCGATTACCAGTGCACTTCCCAGCCTACCAATGCTTTTGCAACATGTGGTGTGTGCAGGCTGATAACTGGAACAGCAAAAACATGCATGTGTATGCCACATAGTACGCAAGCAGCAGCACATACGCTGCATGGACCCCTGAACAAACTGTTCTCCTCACCTTCTGCTCCTCGCCGCCAGTCAGCCATGACAACCAACCGCCGCCCTCGCTGCCACCAGCTGCCGGCGCTGCAGGGCCGCCTGGTGCTGCTGCTGCATCGCCGCCGATGGGTGGTGGTGGCAGCCCTGCCATGCCCTCTGCACCTACTGGGGGGCCGCCGGGCATGCCTGGCTGCGGGAAAGGCATGCTGGGTGGTGGCGGCGATGCCATCTTGCTGAGGGTGATACCCAGGCCCTCAATCAGTGCCTGCAACAGCAGCAGCAGCAGCAGCAGCAGCAGCAGCGCCAATGGCAGGTGTCATGCTGAGTGCTAAAGCAGACACCGCCCATGTCGAGGCTGTGTACAGCATGGCCTTCCAGGGGTGCAGAGCAACCGCTTAACCTAGACGCCAGTAGCTCTGCTGCTGCGCCACTGCCAGCGTCCTGAGCTTTCACAAAGAAGCCCAACCGTGCATGCAACACTCGACTTCACAACGCGTGCAGCCGGCTCTGCGTGCGTGACAGCAGCTGGAGCAGCAGGATGCGGGCTCTGCTTGGCCGGCTTTGTTCCTGCCCAGGTTCGACGCTGCTCTGTTGTACATATGCTTGCTGCAGCGCCGCTCACCAGCAGCGCGCCGCCAAACACGGCAGACCTGAAGGCTGGCCGCAGCCCTGAACGCAGCTGCAGGAAGCCGCCAGTCAGCGCGCCAGCCATGATGGCGTTGAAGGGGTCCTCCTGCGGAAACAGCGGCACGCGCGCAGCACAGCGGCAGGCAAGCGTGCCGATCAGCAGGCATGCCGGGCCATTGCTGGTGAACGTAATGCACCTTGGCGCTGACATGACACCGGCCTTGCACAGACGCCACCCTCATGAGCGATATGCCGGGCTGCTGGGCTGGTGCCTGAGGTAGGTTCAGTCCTGTGCTGCTGTGTTGCAACTGCATTGCAGTTCCAGCACCTCGCCACGCAGGCGCACACATGGTGGGAGGGGGCACGCGCACAGGGCGGGTGCAGGCAGGCACTCCACGCTGCTGCAACGGCATGACCGGGAGCACTGCAGCTGCCACGTGCGCGAGCTGAACAAAGGCCCGCGGCGTGCCCACACACACCAGCTGCTGCGCAGCCCAGGACAGCACCGTGTGAAGTGGGTGCACTGGACTGCCAGTGCATGTTGATGAACACAACCGCCAGCTGCACAACCGCCTGCTGCTGCCACTGCCACTGTTTGCTGCTGCTGCTGCTGCTGCTCTGCTGCTGGTCAAGGCAGCCGTGCAGTACAGGCCTGCTGCCGCGCACCTTTTTCCTGACGTAGAGGCATGTGCAATCAAACACTGAGAACATCAGTCCCCAGTTGGCAAAGTTGCCTCCAATCCTGGGCGACTCACGCCTGATTGTCTGCACAGGCACAGACACAAACAAGCGAACAGAAGGGCAGTGTCAGGCGCATCGCAAGATGTAGCCAGTTGCTGCCTTTGCTGCTCATTTGCTGCTTGATTGCTGCATGTAGTCTGCACAAAACCTGAAGCAGGCATCAGTGAAACTGGTGAACATAGCACAGCAGTGGAGGCATGCGGTGCAGCAGGGCGCATGCTGCATGCATCCTCTGGTGCGCCTGAGCAGCAGGCTGCATGCAGTGGCGCAATTGCTGTCTACAGCAACGCCATGTCCTGGTGTGGTCAGCATACCACCTGATGTTGACTG